GTACAACATTAATTTATAAGTTGCATTTTTTTTTTTTTTAAAAAAAAAGGTATAGGAAACATGTAAATGGACAAAAAGTAAAATTATCAAGAACTAACGGGCCAGAACAGCCCAAACTCACCTAAACTGTTAAGTTTGGCCCAGCCCTCCGGCAGAACTCATAAATTGTCAGCTTCACCTTCGATTATACTGAACTTGAATATCAAAACATGAACATCCTTCCCTATATATTAATTCAAAACTTGTTGAGCTTAGGTGACAGATTCTCACGCTTCGGATGCTGACATGGCAAAAATCTATACTTCGTGATATTGTTTTTTATATTATTTTTTGCTTTGGAGTTAGATTTAGTATTAGACATAAATAACTTTACACATATATTCATTAACCCAACACCCATGTGGTACATATGTATTAGTACTAGTAAGATTTTAATACTAACAACTTTCGTATTATTACTTCCACAACAGCCAAAAATTTCTAAACTCACCCACAAATTATCTGAATTTTCAAACAAAGATTAATAAATTCAGATGAAAAGATCTGTATATAAAGGCTAAACAATGCAAAGGACAATGAACCATGCTTAAACAAAATGGTTTGAAGTTTTCAAAGGCTCTGAAAGATGATTCTGAATTCTGATGACAATGAATAATTTAAGTTCAATTCTAAGTAACAACCAGAATTTGGTATCACCAGACATCAAACAAACAAATGTATGACTCGGTAATCAAGTTACTCGTCTTAGAAAAATATAACATCACCACATTTTCAGACTCCGATTATATGTAAAACCACCTTTCACCGGCCTCGACCTCCACCAGCACCTGTTAGGATAAACGGGAAAAAAAAAATAATAATAAAAAATCAAAGGTGATAAATTTTTATGCGCGCTACTCTTCAGCACACATGGAGAAGAAAAATATCAAGCAACGGTAGACAATGCTGAGGATGAGTGTTGTAATCGAACCGAACAAGCCGAGCTTGGGCATTTTCGAGCTCGTGCTCGTTAACGTTCAAACACTGTTCATGTACGTTTGTTTATTTTTGGAGCAAAAAATTGTGTTCAAGCTCATTCGTTTAATTGTTTGTCAAAGTTCGTGTTCGAGTCATTTAGGACACAAACTTTTTTAAATATGTTTGATTAACTCGAAATTTCTTCATTCGAACCCGAAAAATATATATATATATATATTTTAGATTTTTTTTTAATTAAAAATATCATGTAAATATACAAAAAAATCAAATAAAATAAGATTATGTTAAACTAATGTTACGTTCGCGAACGAGCTCATGTTAATTCAATTATTAAATGAGCCTAATTTTACGTTCGAATTCGGCTCGATTAATGAACGAACGAACTCTTGTCGAACGAGAACGAACTCAAACGAGCTTTTGTTAGCAAAAGTTCGGTTCGTTAACAACCCTACTCAAGATGTCGTTTAAAACGCACACAAACTGAAGCAACATTAGATAATTCATTAGATCAGAAAATTGAAAAAAAAAAAAAAAATCTCAAAACACCAGAGAATAATAAAACAATTATGTACACGTACCTCGATTTCCACCGGACCTCCCTCCGGGTGCAGCCCTGCCTCGGCCTCCGCCTCGGGCGGCCCCATCCTCCATTCCACGGCCAATACCTTTCGTTTTCGAGCCATCTTCTCTACCTCTTCCCCTTCCACGCCCTACGCCAGGTGGCCTTCTATCTGAAATGGAAGAATTGCATTGAATTTTAAAAGAGTTATCTCCATTTTTAGGAGAGATGAAACACACATCAACTGAACTTTAAAACTCAGGGTTGAATAGGATAAAACTACACATTCAAGGAGCGCAAATGCAAATATACGCAACAAAAAATGAAAATAATGCAAATTTGAGGCAATAAGTGGGGAAACAAAGAAGTATTCAGCATAACTAGAAAAAAGGAATTTTATTTTGCGGCCTCCTTGTTTAAGCCAATAACATAACAGTTTTCTCAGTCATAATACAGTCAATTTCCATACAGACACAATTAGTGTCTAGACTAAACAAAGACAAGCTATTTGAAGAACCCCATAATATGTCAGCAGACAAATATCTCATTATAAAATAGAAATTAATACAAAGCTCTATCAGAAAGGATCGTACCAGAACGGCTTTTCGACTCCTCCTGAACTTTATCAATCACCTGAAAATATAACATAAAAAAAAAGTTGAAAAAAAAAAGTTGTCAGAATGCCATTATAGTTACGTAAACCACACATCATAACCATGTCTCAAAACCGAGCGATGGGTTAATATGAAATTATTAACGGAGGACGACATGATGCAGTCCGAAAAAATGTTCACGTGCCGAGAGGGAAAATTCAACAATATCCAATAGTGAAGTTTTCTCATGTAAGAAAGCAAAATGAAGTTCCCCGAGAAGCAAGAAAATCGACAATCGGAGTTTCAAAAGTTCACCTAACAATGGAGATGTTTCGGACAATAATAATACTAAGACATATTTCCCAAGTCAAAATTACAAGATGTAGCATCCACGAAATATTAACCAAGTTACTCTTAGGTAAATCAGCTCAAACAATCAACTTATCGACAGACATAAAAACATAACCGCAAATTGAAACAATGTGTAAACGGATACCTCATCTGGAACTCTAAGATACTTAATTGTGTTCCCTCTGATGTAGCACTCCGGCATTCGCCAAAACCTATCTCCATCCTGCAAACGATCAAAACATTTTCACATAAATTATATAACACCAACATCACAAAAAATGTGAAAAATGACAACACTAAGTGAGAAAAGACAAAAATCGAGATAAGAAACAAACATGTAAATGAGATAACTACCTTTGAGGTGCATATAACTTCACGGAGATGAATGTTCATCCAAGTGTCACAGTTAACCAAGTGACCATTGTATGTTTCCCCATTTTTCAGTTCCACCAACTGTTAATCATGCACATTACCATTCATCAGCCAACGCTTTAGATTCATAACATTCATAAACAAATGTAAACACACACACACTGTCACTACAAATGGTCGAAAAGTAAACCCGGGTTTAATTAAGCTGAATATAGGAACAAAACTTGAGTTACTTGGGTAGGCATATAAAGAAGGAAAGAAGCTTACCATAGGGTGACCTTGTGCAGTCTTGAGTAGTGAAAGCGGAAGCTGCAAGAACGATAAAAACAACAAATCTATCAATCTCACGTTCACAAACACACAAAAGTAACGGATAATCTGAAAAAAAAAAAAAAAAAAAA